CATGTGGGGAATACCATTCTTGTGCTGTCACACTTTCCGGTGACATGTACACATGGGGTGGCAGTACTTCCAATTTTGCGCTCCTTGGTCATGGGTTTCAATCAAGTCAATGGGTCCCAAAAAAGCTAAATGGACCTTTAGAGGGAATTCATGTCTCATCAGTTTCATGTGGACCGTGGCACACAGCTGTTGTGACCTCTGCTGGGCAATTGTTTACTTTTGGCGATGGCACATTTGGTGTTCTAGGTCATGGGGACCGAAAGAGCATTTCAGTGCCCAGGGAGGTTGATTCCCTTAAAGGTCTCCGTACTGTGCGAGTAGCTTGTGGTGTTTGGCACACTGCAGCAGTAATTGAAGTTATGGTGGGGTCATCAAGTTCCAGCAATTGCTCTTCTGGAAAGCTTTTTACATGGGGAGATGGAGATAAAGGTCGACTTGGACATGGTGACAAGGAAGCAAGACTTGTGCCCACTTGTGTTGCTTCTTTGGTTGAACCCAACTTTTGTAAAGTTGCCTGTGGACAAAGCCTGACTGTTGCACTCACAACTACGGGCCATGTTTACACTATGGGAAGCCCTGTTTTTGGTCAATTAGGGGTCCCTAAAGCTGACGGGAAACTTCCAAGACGTGTTGAGGGAAAGCTAATGAAGAGTTTTGTTGAAGAAATTGCTTGCGGTGCTAATCATGTTGCAGTTTTAACTTCAAGAACTGAGGTTTACACTTGGGGAAAGGGTGCAAATGGTCGATTAGGTCTTCGAGATACAGAAGATAAATTTTCACCAACATTAGTTGAAGCTTTAAAAGATAAACAAGTCAAGAGTATTGTCTGTGGCACTAATTTTACTGCTGCTATCTGTCTTCACAAATGGCTCTCTGGTATTGATCAGTCAATGTGTTCTGGCTGTCGCCTTCCATTTAATTTTAAAAGAAAAAGACACAATTGTTATAATTGTGGACTTGTGTTATGCCATTCATGCAGCAGCAAAAAGTGTCTCAAGGCTTCCATGGCACCAAACCCAAACAAACCTTATCGGGTCTGTGATATTTGTTTTGCTAAACTTCGGAAGGCCACTGAAACCAACTCTTCATCTGGGTCTGCTATTAGTAGAAGAGGAAGTATGAATCAGGGATTCAACGAACTGATTCAAACCAATTTTAAAGAAATGGAAAGTGGATCTTCCAAAAGAAACAAGAAAATGGATTTCAGCAGCAATTGTGTTATTCCCATTGCAAATGGAGTTTCTGAGCGTCGAGCACTCAATGGGACTAAATCTTTCAACCCAGTTTTTGGATCATCCAAAAAGTTTTTCTCAGCTTCGCTTCCTGGATCCAGAATTGCATCTCGAGCAACATCACCAACATCGAGACGATCTAGTCCACCTCGTTCCACAACACCAACCCCAGCTCTTTCGGGGCTTACTCTTCCAAAAGTTGGGGATGATGCTAAAAGGAAAAATGTCAGTCTGAGTGAAGAAGTTCTAAAATTAAAAGCTCAGGTATGTTGCTTGTCTTTTTTTGGTTGTCAATAACTGTGAAAATTTACTTTTCTGTTCAATGTCTAGTTTTCCCTGCATTTCAGTCAAGGCAAATTTACTTCCTCCTGAGGATAACTTGTCTTTCTGTTTGAGTAACAATTTGATTTTGTGTTCAACTCTGGGATGATATCGCACTGTCTAATAGGGAGAAGGATTGCTAGATGTCGATGCCATTTTCTCTACATTGTATATAATAATTTTAGGGCGATGAGCACCAATGTGATATTCTTTTATGTTTTCCTCCAGTTATCTCCTTCATTCTACTCTACTTTACCATGGTGATTACCTTTTTATTCTGTTTTTCTTGCATTCACTGTGCAAAATTACATGGATGAGGTTCTAACTTTGTTCTTTCAACTGATCGACTTATGGTGTAGGTTGAAGATCTTACTCGTAAAGCTCAACTTCGAGAAATTGAGATGGAAAAAACTGCCCAACAGTTGAAGGAGGCTCTGAAAGTAGCAGGGGAAGAAACTGTGAAATGCAAAGCAGCAAAGGAAGTAATTAAGTCGCTCACAGCCCAAGTAGGTTTCATTCTCATGTTTATAGTGAGTATGCATTCTGCATTTAAACAATTTAGGGTTTGCAATAAAGATTGTGGTCAGTTTGATTTTTCAAGCACAAGCACTAATTTATCTGGATATTAACATACCGTGGGAAATGCAAAAGAAAAGAAAATAATGATGAAATCAATGTGTTTTTCGTATCATTGAGGATGTATGGAACTTTGTAACTTTAAACAGGAACCTTATTTAGGTGCTATGTGCATATGATCAAGTTTACAGTTCTTAATCAATAATATGGAGATAATGATAAACATCCAATACATATATAACTAACAATTTATACTTTCAAGTTTATTTAAGTCCTCAGTATATTATCCTATTTAGGACTGTCGTACTAAAATTTCAGTTTTGAGGGTGATGTGCCTCATATGGAAATATAAATGTAGGATCGATAATGGAAGTTAGAATTATTATGTCGGTTGCAAGTCTTCTATTGAATGCAGTCTGAATTAATACCTTGTTTCATTTATTTTAGTTAAAGGAAATGGCTGAAAGGTTACCAATTGGAACAGCAAGAAACATGGATACTCGTCCATTAGACTCTTCCAGTCCCACTCGTGAAGTTTCTACTACAGCCATTGAGAAAACAAGCAGTACATTGAATTTCTCTGAACCTTATTCAATTGTGTCGAGCAGTGAGATAATTTCTGACGTGCCACGGGCCACTTCGAATCACACTGAAGTGGCACATTCAGAAGCAACAGCTAGGCATAAAAACAGAGGAGCAAAAGCTGAAACAGCACAAGGGGATGAATGGGTTGAGCAAGATGAGCCTGGTGTATATATTACCCTAGTTTCCTTGCCTGGAGGTGTCAAAGATCTCAAGCGTGTTCGCTTCAGGTATGCCCCTTTTTCCCGATAACTTCATGCAACCCAAATTTGAACAGAACGTTCTCAGGTATCGAAAATATATGTGTGTGTTTTCCAGTGTGGATTGAATGTTGATATGTATTTCAATCACATGTCAGTGTTAATTCTTCGTTTATTTTCCTCTTCCTAATAGTACCGTCAAGGGATCGTATATGTTATGTCCTTTGCTTACAAGGCCTGTGTCTTCCAAACTATATTTTTAGTACACTTTCAATCATATTTAATTGACGATGACTAATTTTCAAGTGCCTCAATTCTGTCAGTCGAAAGCGGTTCAGCGAGAAACAAGCAGAGCAGTGGTGGGCGGCAAACAAGGGTAGAGTATATCAGCAGTACAATGTTCCGGTGGTTGAAAAATCCAGTATTCCGACGGGGAGGGAAGGGTTAGTTCATTGAGCTGCTAATATCAGTCAAGACACAAGTGGAGAGAAGGGTTTTTACCCTCAATTGACCCTTCATTTTTTTCATTTTAAGGAGGTAAATGTGGTAATTTCCTCCCCTCTTCCCGTAAATTTTGGTTTTATCCTTCTCATTTTTTTTCCCTTGAGAATGTTGTAAACACGAAAATCCTGTAGCAAATGAAACAGCCGAAATTTACATGTCTGCAAATGTATCGCCAGACTCATTGGAGATATTTGTTTTCCGGAGGGGAAATGGTAAGAGTAGGTCGGTCGGGCTTATGTAAATTCTTTGTAAGTAGGTTGGTTTCTGGATTCAAATTCCGAAATAACTTTCCTTGTAAATCCTTCACTCGACAGCTATTTACATAAAAAGCTCAAAAAATTTCAAATGCAGTTGAACAGGTTTGAGCGATCTTTCGTGGGCCCGGTTACTGTGAATTGAAACGAAGAAGTTTTCTGATTGCCGGTACAGGTGTTTGGAGTCCCGGTGTCCCATCTCCTCCATCTTCAAATTATCGCAGTTGCTTAGTCTTTATGTTCATATAAATTGGTTTCTGATAGTCGACGCCATTGAAATTATAAATTTATTAAAGTGAATCACTCCTTTGCGTGACATAAATTGCACTCGATGTGCCAATTCAGGAAAGAAAGAGAAAAAAGTTATCGGCAACAATTATTAGAAATAAATTTACTTTTTCTGGGACATATTAATGATACCAGGCTCAAAGGTCAAAATGGACCATGTGTTATAGTTAGGGAGTTTTAACAAAACACTTCTGATACTGTTTACTTTTAACGAAAAATTACATGTTTATCTTGGTACTACTCACTACACCTTTGTTATTTTTTATTCAAACTAAAGGTTTTTTGGACTTTTCATTAGTTTTTCTTTATAGTTATTGGGTTAATTTAAAATTTAAGTTTTATTTCTTTTTTAGATCTAATCACATATTTGTGGATAAAAAAATTTAAAAACAAAGAAAGAATAATCAACCACCCACAACGCACAACGTGAGTTTGAAGATACATTTAAAACATATAAAATTATCGTATTGTCCCTATGTTGTTTGGGTAGTTGTTGTTGTTCATTGTTCTTCTCTATCAAAGCGAGAGCATTGTAGGAAATATTGAAAGCTTCACCATTTTTGCCTTCTCACTTTATATATACAGATGTGTTATTTTCTTTTTATTGATTTTCATTTTTCTATAAATTTTAATTTAAGTAAAGAGAGAAGGTAATATATAGCTCTCTCAACTGCGGTCAATTTTTCGATTACATAGTCAAAGAAGAGGTGGTCAATATTAATTTTCTTGAGACTATAATGATGGAACTGGCGTGGTGAAGTGGAGTCAAGGTGGATATAGAGACGCTTTAGCCGAGTTTCTTGTGTGTGGGTATGGTTGGGGTTTGGGTCAAGGACAAGGTAGATGACAGTTGAGTTGGTTTTTTTTTTTTTTTTTTTTTTCTTTTTTCTTTTTGGTGATTTTGAAATTATATTTCTTTCTATTTTAATTGAAAAATATTTTTCTATAATAGGTTATAATTATTGTATGAAATTTTTAACAGAAATTAGATAGAATGTCCTTAATTGGCTTGCGAAGATAAACACGAGGCCTAAATGGCCAAATTGACAACACGAAGCTAAATTGATTGAATGGCTATAACACATGACCATTTTGACATTTAAGCCATGATACAATGCTACAATTGAGAAATAAATAAATACATACTTTATATATACACATAATGACAGGATGCTCCTAAGCCAAGTCTGCAAAAAGCCAGAGTAGCAACTTGTTCCTAAGAGGTCGCGTGCCCACATAACCCGGTCCTAGGATTTGTAAGCCAGTTCAATTTTTGTACTGCTTGAAAAGAAACCAGCGTTGGCAAGACGATACCAGCAAAAATGGTCGTGATTCAAATGCTAAAATGTTATTGATGGCATGTACAAGATGGTCACATTCCTGCACGCGAAAAAATAAATGTATGAGAAAACCAAACCTTCAACAAAAGAAAGTTCAAGTACGATGACGAAAAGGTCATATCCAAATTAACACCCTTAAGCAAAATGAAAAGTTAAGTTCGAGTCAAAACTACCCTGAATCGAGAGAAATCATGCACCAACCTTTTACATCTTTGAATTTGTCCGCACAAAGCTAAGATGAGACAGATAATTGCTCTCGGCAAAATCATGTAGTGAACGCTGAGTTCGTGCCCCTATAGGTTCAGATTTTCCAGCCTCTTCCTTCAAAAATCTTCTGCACTCATCAGCATCCTGAAGCAACATCAAGGAAAGCATATAACACTAATTCCTAAACCTTACAATAAAAGTATAAATAAACTATAGAAACATACACACAGTGAAAGAAAGTAGGAGTCATACATACAACATTGCCTACCCAAGCACAAACAAACACATGATCACAGGGAAAGAGGAGAGATGAAAATAACAAAAGACGAGAACTGTTTCCTCACAGATACATTATATAACGAAGTTTCAGTGAATATTTTCCAAAGTTCTAAATTTCAACTGAAACATATATGTGGAATGAAATACACGATATTTTATTTGTTAGGAAATGCAGTAATTAATATACTTATACTCTGACAATCATACAGAGAATTTATCAAACACCTGCTAAATCTTTTTAAAAGATCGCTAGAACACTATGAACTGAAACCACGGGTATGAGTTTACCTGTAAGAACTCCAGCATTTGCTCTTCAATTGTACCACGCATTGCTAGAGTTTCCACGTGTATTGGACGAGTAGCACCCATACGATGAGCACGACTAACAACTTGTTCCTCCATGCTAATGACATTTAAACCAATAGGACAGATTAATATCATAAGGAAACATAACTTTGTATTGTAATTTACTGAAGCCACTAGTAACAAGAAGCCTTGATCTTTGAAAAAACACAGGTTAGAACTGAAAGAGAAAGTTCCTTTCCAAAACAGAGTTGAATTAAGCAGTCAGACTTTTATTTTTATTTTCATATTTTTAACGCACGCTATATTTTCAGTTCAAAATAAAAAAAAAAGAAGAGAACATGATAATAGGGATTTAATAATGATAACCTCCTGTCCCATATTGGTTCCATTAAAAATACATGTGTCACAAAGCTCAAATCGAGGCCCAATGCAGCACTTCCATCCATCAAAAGAACTGTGCAACTAGGATCATGCTGGAACATGGCCAATGACTTCAACTGAAAAAGGAACGTATATTAACCTTACATCCAAAACGAAAAGAAAATTAACTGAAAGCACACAACAAACAAGAAAAAATATATAATTCGAGAGGGAAAACATGTACCTTGTTGCTAGCATGCAATGGGCTATACATCCCAGCATATTTAATACCAGCAATCGCCAACTAACCAAAAAGTAAGAAATTCAAATCCCATTACTTGCACAGCCAAAATCATATAATAGCAAAAATCCATGAGATAGTATGGTATATATTACTCACCTGCTGTTCAATAACATGTATATGCTCAAGAAATTGAGAAAATACCAAAACTTTTTCCAAGTTTGTATCTTGAGTCTTGGTGCTCATTTTAAAGTCATGGATTTGCATTGATCCTTTTGAATCGCTTATCTCAGACAGTAAATTTTCAGTGTGCAAGGAATTATCGTTGTAATCTGGAGGGCAAAAAAATTTGCTGTTAGCTTCCTGCAATGCTTTCAATTTCTCTACAATATAGGCGACTTTACTGCTAGATGTTGACTGCCAATCAGGATCCCAGTTATCCTGCATAAAAGCCAAAAACCCTACATCGGCAAAAATGGTAAAACACAAGAAACCAAAAAACAAGCTGAAAATAGTTCAACTTGTCTTGAGAGCCATGCTTGCCTGTTTATATGAGGGCTGTAGCTCAATAAGATCTTTAGGAACAGGCCATTTTGGATTGGGATTTTCTGGTCGAGCTAATTCATCAGGAGTTTGCATCTCATATAAATTGCCACAACCAGGAAATGTACACCGTTCACTGTCCAAAGCAACACAATCGAGGCATAAAAGATGCCTACATGGCGTAATGACAGGTAACCGACACCATTCCTTGCACCTGATAAAATAAGAATGCAATCTCTAATCAGTAATCATATTTTATCTGCCAAAGGTGGGAGTGCGGGGGTTGTCAACAACAAATATTACCTCACACAGTTGCCGCCGTAAACGAGATAATATTTTATATAAGCATACTCCTCTGACATGGGATCTAGACCATTCTCAACTAGAATATCCATCGTTTCCTGAATATCTTCACCAGCTTCTGTTACTTTTATATGCCCAGCCACACAGCACGATAGCCTGACATTTCCAATAGTTGCACTTCGAAACTTCCATTGCTTTGGATTCAAAAGACTCTCAACATGAGAAGGATCGTTCCAGTCAGCCATTAATATATTACGCTGCACTGTAACTACCAATTCGTTGTAACTTCTAGCATGTTCCTCGGTAAAATCAAGATAAGTAACTTTCTTGATGCAGGGTGGGATAGCCAGCAAATCTACCTTTCTTGCACTAATCATGCACCTATGCAGTAAATGCAACAAACGTGATCGTCCTTCTTCCATCTTTGCTTCAAAAGGCCTAAGAATCCCAGCTTCCCATGATTTATGATTCTGCCCATAAGCTTCCTCGTGAAGGAACTTGAGCAATGGTTGAAGATGTGAGAGTTGACTGTTGGGTGTATTAGGAGTTGGAGTTCCAGTCAATATCCAACGGTTTGAAGCCATCAATGAAACTGCCATCTGCATTTTGTTTGTCAAGCTAAGACTTGAGCCAAGGGTGTGCCCCTCATCTAGCATGACTCTAAGCCAGTGCACTTGCATCATTGCACTTTTCTTCCGAGGGCCCCACTCTGCACTTAAACGGTTGAATGTGGTTATGACAACATCATAGTCCCAAGCCAGACTGTGTGCAGAAGGCTTCCTATGATCATTCCAAACGTAAACTCGTAGCTGACCAGGCCTTACATGCTTCTGAATTTGAGTGTTCCAATGATCAACTAAATTTGATGGAACAACAATTAGGGTTGCCCTAGAAAGATACAGCCTGACTGAATCCAAAGGTGAACAAAGAGCAATTTTGAGAGCAGCAACGTCAAAACTCATACTGTCAAGATTTCGTGGGTAAAACCACCTGCTAACACCCTTTTCTACTCTTCTTTTGAGACCAAATGCTTGAAATATTTTTTGAAACCCATGGGCATCTTCACCAGGCGCCACGCAAGTGATCATGAAAGGACTTCGCAAACCATTTGTCTCCATTGCCGAGAGCTTGTCAGGAGAAAGGTTAGTCAACCAAATTAAGGATTTCTTTGCTATGGAATTTATCAACGCATAATGCTCTTTAAGCACACTAACGAAGAAACGAACGTTTTGTTCCTCTCCTCCAATGGTTCCTTTTGTGCAAAATCCTAGTAAATGTGTTATTGGAAGGCAATTATCCCAGGCTTCTTCAGGAACGCTACAACTTTGGTAGAAAGGATCAGCATTCATGCTACAAAACCATGCTTCACTAGCATCAGCAATACTAGCTGGAAGCTTCCGCCACTTGCAGCAAGCATCACACTGAACCCAGGAGTCCTTATAATCATACTTATCTGCCTTAACCTTCCTAGGCCTCCTTTTCCTAGTACATTTGCTCGCATTGCTAGATGCACCTTCAAATGTGGGAAAAAGATTTTTACTGATGCTGCTCAAGCTCCTGGTGCTTCGAACCCCACCCACTGCTGGATCGGAGTATGCAGCTGCTGGTGTTTCCATTCCTTTACCATAAGGTCCAGGACATGAATTATTAAATCCTGTAATTTTCTCATCATGAAGAACTAGCCTGGCTCTTTTGGATCGTTGGTATTTGGAATCCCAAATATAATTTTGAGAATTCTGACCGCTGTCCCTCTTTTCCATGAGCATCCTCCTGTCAGCAACATAATCACCATTAAGCTCATAATAACCACTTCTTGGGTCTCCATTATGTGTACACCAGTTAACATGTACCCTGTCTGGTGGATTTGCCAGTGCTCCCTGTGTCTTTAGAATAAGGGAAAGAGCAGTTATAGTCTTGCCTAATCCGGGCTCATCACAGAACATTCCCCCATGAAAATCATTCACAGTGGGAGCTACCCCAGTGTCTATTTTCCCAGAGATGGTGTTTATGTAGAAAGAAAATCCATCTTCAGTTGAGAAAGACGAGTACAAGGGATGTGGCAGGATGTCAGCATTTCTCTCACGCTGTAGCATCCACTCTACTGCTGCCTGCTGATGAGGAAAAAGTTTAAGTTTCATGCATGGCATGATTGAGACGGCCAACAGTCTCAGATGGCAGCAGGTTGCAGACACCCTAACAAGGTCAGTTGGGTTAAGTGCAGCTAGAATATTAAGTAAAATGTCATCAGATATCTCACAAATACCAGATCTGCAAGAGTCGTCACAGGATTGTATTCTAGAAGAACCAGCTTTTCCTGTTTTTGCAACACTAGGTAAGCTCTTAAAAATTTCGTGAAGTTCAAATAGCCTTTTCTTTGAAGTATCCATGAAATTATGATGCAGCTTGCAAACAAAAACGTGACAATCTGAAAGATTCCACATGCTTCTGTTAGCTTCTAAAGTATTTTCAAGATAATCTCCGCTGTTGAGCATTGCGCTTCTCTCTCCCCAGTCAGAACTGCAAATTAACGTTGTTGAACTTGTTAGGGTGAGAAGGAAGATAGAAAGGTTTTCAATTTAGGGTAAAGGACCCTTGCAATGAATTGGAATCAACCAACTGCAACCACGCATATAAATAAAACGAACAAAAACAAATTCAAAGTGGCAAAGTGGAAAACTTTCAAAAGTAAGATGACATATGTATATGTTTTTTATTTACAAGTGATCATTTTTGTGGAAAGGAGCGTGAGAGCGTAATCCTTCGGCACACAAACAACCCAAATATTCGATGCATAGCATCGGAACCAGAGCCTAAATTATCGAAATGCAAACCATAACATAACTAGGAAATAAAAATGTTGATACTTGATACAACAATGTTCATTTCTACCCGTCTCAGTCCTCATCTTTTTCGGTTTAACAATTGCGAACTAGCTAATCAAAACAAATGGATATACACATTTACCTCAAATGTCGAAACAGAGCTCCAGCAATGGAGCCGGATCTCGGGAACTGCCAGCCAGCCAGCAATGCAATTGGGAGATAGACATCGATCAGCACCACAGCCCTGACCTCTCCACTGACTCCAGCCTCAACCCGAACCAATCGAGCATCGATCATCAAGCACTTGTTCACAACCAATGCGTGGAGCTGGTGCACCACGCTAATGCTCCCGTGCACCAGCCCGATGCTCCTCCTGCTCCTCCTTATCCCAACATTCTTCAACCCCGCCTCCGGGTTCCTCCTCTTCCTCCCCAATTCCCGAACCGGAACCTCGCATTGCTTGGAGTCCTGAACCGGGATGACATCGGCGGAGGGAATTGAGTCCACGGGGGAGAGGACGACGCCGTTTGGGGAAGTGAAATTGACGTCGGATTGGGAAATTCGGAAGCGGGTGCCGAATGGTGGGGTTTGGCGGGGGTCCGGGGAGGAAGTGACAGTGAGAACGGCGCAGAGGAAGCCGCAGAGCTTGTGGTCGGAGAACGACGACGTATCGTCATCCATTGAACTGAATTGAGGATGGGAGTGAGAAATAAGAGGATTAGGGCACAGAATTAAGAGGGCATTGGGTGATAAATTAGGGTTTTGGAATTCGAATTGGAAGGGAATTAGGAAACGAAGAGGAGGGGGCAGTGATGATTTGATGGGGCGGAGACCGGAGAGTGAGGTTTGGTGTTTGGGTAAGGCTTTGGTCTTTTTGCGGGGCCCGCTTCAGTTTAGATTTGGTGGACTTTTGCGTCTTTGATAGTTTGACTCACAGAATATAAAACCGCACGTGGTTTTTTGCTCGCACTTCCATTTTTTTTATTTTTTTTTTTCCGTTTTAAAGAAGGGAATTGTGACTTGGCCGCGGCGGTTTTTTTTTTTTGCGAGTTAAAAATACTCATCCAGAGATATATTTCAACTTTTTTTTATAATTATTGTGGAATTCACAAGCGTTAAGAATTAAATTCCGAACGTACCATGCAAAATACAAGCTTGAAATTCGTCTACACTTAAATAGGTCACCCTAGTGGTTTACTTGCACTTACACTTAGCTTTGGTTACATTTTAAAATATCGAGAGATTAAATTAAATATCTTATTTATTCCAAAAATGAACAAAATTCTAGATAATCCTATTCACACAGCTATTTTTATTTTTCATACAATTCTCTTATTTTACTACTGAAAGAATTGAAGAAGAATAATGACCAAGAATTAATAAGAATGTGTGTGAAGTAAAAGTGGGAAAATGATCATTTTCCTAGGAATCTCGTGATCTCACCCGTTCATCGTATATCGTACGGTCAATTTTCGTTAGATACTATTCATATTTAATTTTAAATTTTAAATTTGGAAATAATTTCTGATCGCATGATGTACGATAAACAGATGATATCACATATCGCTAGGATCACCGAATCCTTTTCCGTAGTAGGTGTGTGAATAGTAATCTCCAAAATTTACTCATAGGAGGCAGTTGCTAATGCCAGTATGGAAACAGGCAAGGATCGCCGCTACCGCGTGACGTTGCATCAAACAGGAAGGAGGGCTTTGTGCCGAGTTACTGAATCTTCACGTCGCGACAAGAGGACTACTTCGGCTGTTGGTGAGGCCGCTACTGCGGGGAGGGAGGAATCTGCTTCTGCTACTACTGTTCACGTCGGCAACCCTCGGCTCCCAAAGAGAAGCTGTCATTCATAAAGATGGCGTTGTATTAGTATAATCTCCTAAGTGATGATCCAGAGGGTGGTTTGCCAAGCAATGTATCTTCATTGTCGATCATGGATTGCGAAAACTTCAAGCCTTCGTTCGAGTAGGGACTGCACAGACTCACCTGTCTCACAAATCTCACCTTGGTTGTCAAGGACTGGTGTCCTTCCCAGAGGATTGGCTGTTGCCTGCTAGTTATCCTTTCTTCAACTTCAGCGACTGCCGAAGCTCGAGATTCTTCCCAAAATACTGAACAATCTCATCTCTCTCGACAATCTAGAAATATCGGAATGTGACAGATCACTTCAAACCTTTTCTGAAGAGGAGGAACCAAGGATGCTTCAAAATTTTGAAGTTCTGGGATGTCCTCTCACTGGTGGTTTTGTGTAAATTTACAACTCTCTGTGCTCGTCAATGCAAAAGATCCATTCACTTCGATTTCTTAACAGTCGGATATGTCGTTTAAGTTCTAGCATATAGCATTCTGTTCAATGGGGAACCTTCAGGATATATTCGAGGATTAAGACAAGGCGATCCACTCTCTCCGATTTTGTTTTTAACATGTGCAGAAGGGTTTATCTGTATAAAAAAAAAAAAAAAAAACTTAAGAAGCGATTGGTGGAAGTGATGAAGATTATCTTGGATTGAAGGCGGACTTTTGTGCTTCAAAGAAGAAAGTATTTGACCGTGGTGTGTAGGCGAGGGTTCATGGCTGGGCTGGGTGCAACATTTCTTATTGCCAGCGAGTAAAGAGGTTCTAGTGAAAGCTGTGATCTCTGCATTGCCCGATTTTGCAGTGTCAAGCTGTAAACTGCCAGCCAATCTATGCAAGGAAGTACAAAGACTTCTATCAAGGTTTTGGTGGAGAGAAAAAAAAAACTCAGAAGGTAACAACATAGCAAATGCTTAGCAAGATTTGGATGGCGTGTTCTACAGTGCCCGGAATCTCTCTTGGCGCAGCCACTTCAGGCCAAATATTGCCCGGACCACTCCTTTTTTATGTCCGGAATCTCAATTCTGTTAAGTCGGGTTATAAAAAGCAAATGTTTTGAGTTGCAATGGAGAGCTAGCTAGGAAGGAAGGGAGGGAGGTGTGTGTAGGTGGAGGTGCCAAATAAACATCGACATTTAGCTTGAAAGTATTACAAAGCATTATGGCTGAGGCAGAAGCTGTGCTACCAGCCAGTAATGTGTTTCTTTTGGTTTATTTAAAACCTTCTCTCTTTAGTTTTAGTCCATTTTTAACTCTTTTATTTTACGAGTTAACGAAATTTCGATGTCTAGAGACAGAAAAAGGCAGATTGAGTATTGGACTTTCGAGAAGTAGAATGTAGCTTTAGGGTCAAAGTGAAACTATAAGTTTTGAAAGGTATGTACATAATTAAGCCTCATCAGAATGATTGGAGCAGAGCCTCAAATACATGTAGTTTTGGGCGGCCTAATATTTGATACACAACAACGGTTAGCACAATATTCGAAGTCATTGGTGTTTTATTCAATCCAACATTGTGTGATGGAGCCACACACTCAATGACTTCTTATGCTTTTTAGGTTCGAATCTCATAAATATCGAATTTAATACTAATTTATTCCTCCACTTCTACAGGTGGATAAAAAAATAAAAATAAAAAGATCATCAAGACACATACATGGGATAATTTTTTGAGCCTATTTGGTTTTTTCAATATCTTGGTTGTTGATGCAAACGTTTCTGTTCGTATTTAATTAAATCTCAATTTTTTGAAAACAAAAATCTCTACTGATTACAAGAACATGGCCACTGATTTCTTTTTCTGGTCCAAATTTCTCATTCAAGGAAAAATAAATAACACAAAAGCCAAAACGAGCATAACAATTTTAATGAATCTCTTGTTTGCTCCAGCAAAACGATCTCGAAGAGTCGATTCTAGGCCGCAGTACATAAACAAAAACGAACAAAAGACGCATATCCATACTCCAGCTTCAAAGGAGCTTCCACTCTGCCGGGATTAACCTGGGATTTTATGGCAGACTAGAGAAGCCACCTGCAGACGCACAACGCTAAGTGCAACATTTCTGTTTGCTCGACCAAAGCTATCTCAATGATTCAATTATATGCTAAAGTAATAGACTACCAAGCCGAATGACAGGATTTACATGTAAACAAGCTGGCCTGAAGAGAGAGAGGCGGGGGGAGGAGAGAGGAGGTAGGGAGGCTTAAAGAAGCTAAGGCCGAAATAAAATGGTCTACTGAGGTGTTTGCCCGTGCGGAGGTGGCCCTGGTGGAGGTTGGGGCATACCAGATTGACCCCTAGCCTGCAATACGCAAGACAAGGACACATTAGCTATTACCCAGTTAATGATGAGATTTATGAAAATTTCTGTACCACCGAGGTATAAACTATTGTCTTCTTACCTGGTAAGGATTATACCCCGGATGCATGGGAATTTGCCCAGGTTGACCCCGATTGAAGGTGCCACCCTGAGGATACATTTGAGGTCCACTGGCATTTGTTGGACCCTGCATGTTTGGCATACCATTTGGAAAACCTCCACTGCTTGTAGGTAGAGATCCCGAGTGCATTGGGTTCATGCCCATAAAATGACCTTGTGGCAATGGGTGACCCATCTGATTCATTGAACCTTGAATTCCCTACAGAACCAAACTATTAATTATCACCGACTGTGATTTTCCAGGAGTACATAGTCAACAAGGATCGTTCTGAAACCGAATGTAATCTTTCCCCATTTCTTGAAATAAGAATATGTCTAACTTTTATGGCAATATTCCAGGCAGATCCAACTTATAAAAATAAGATGTGAATAATGTAATAAATAATTTTGTGAAAAAAAAAAAAGGCATACCATTGGCATTGAATGTGAGGTAGGAACCGATGAAGGCATAGACAAAGATCCCGGCCCTGAAGATGGCATACCAAGTGGGGGCATTTGGGGTGGCGGTCGATGTAAATGAGGATGTGGCAGCAAGGGTAAATGGGATGGAGGCTGCAGCTGTGGCATATTTGGAGGTGCCATAGGCATAGGGGGCATTTGTTGCGGGTGACCTTGGTGTTGGTGTTGCTGTTGTGGCATCTGTTGAGGATTTTGCTGATATTGTTGCTGCTGATTCACAGCAAGAAGAGAGGGGTGGGGACCAGGTGGGAGAGGAGGAGCACCTAAAGGCATCGAAAGTGCATGAGGTTGTTGCTGCTCCCCCTGATTTGATGCATCAAGAGAGAATGGCATAGCAACTCCAACACCAGGAATAGTTCCTTCATTTCGAGTCAACCCGGGAACAAGTGGTCCAGGAGTTGGTGGTCCTTCAGGTACTGGAAAATTACCAGTCATGCGACCACCAAAAGCAGGGTTTTGCTCACCATAACCTGAGAACATAAAAATGAGATGATGCACTGATCAATTCTGGATACGTTTACCTTAAACTACAAATTCATATGCAGGGTGTGGGCGGGTGAATTTTTGTGCGTGCACGCACTTATATGTGCATTTTTCTCTATAATATCACCCCCTGTACGTAGCATATAGAGTGTTAAGAGCATGACACACCCAAACTTGAAAAAAAAAAAAAAAAAAAAACATCCAAATATGCTGACAACATTAGTTATTTTTTTAAGTAATAATAAAATACCCTCAAAGGGAAATGTTGAATCATGCTTGGTATTGCACAAGTCAAACTTAAAATTCTTAAAATATGACTTCTATTTGATAAGATAACGCTATATAGTTTCCCATTTTGATTTTGGGGTAGGCATGCAAAGTACTACCTTGATTTTGGCCGGGGTTAAATTTATCCCGACCAGTGTCTCCTGGCCTATTTCTGCACCAAAACTTCGTAGTGTGATCATTGCTACCACTGCAGAAGAACAATACAAGTAAATGAAGCCACTGCCAATCCAAAATAGTAATTCAGATAATTGTGATACTAGCTTGTTGAAAGTACGCCAATGTTATTCCATTTCACAAATCCAAAACATCAAGATCCATATGCTTATTGGTCCTTGACCAAATATTAGACACATC